TTTGAACTCAAATGGGAAAAAATGTGCAGAACTCAGTTTATTTTTTGGACGCAAATCCACCCGATTTTCCTTGGATGTTGGGCAATTTTTGATCTCTCAAACGAAGCTTTGCGGCAAAAAATTTGGCTCTCGATAAAATGTCTGGCTATTGATCGCCCAACAGAAGTTTTCTCCATTCCAAATGTTGGGGCGATTTGAAGAAAATCCCGAAAATATGGTGTCGAAAAAACTCAAAAAATCTCGAAAATCAAAAACAACTAACACGATCTGCGCGCAAATAAAGTAGTATTCACTTTTTTCTAAACTAACAGCGAGCCTGCTGAGAAAACGGGCAGGTTTGAATCTGTCTCGATTATTTCTGAGCCCGATAAAGCCCCAATATATATAGCAAAAAACCCCGATYGGTTCATTGGTTGCTTATGCAGAATGAATCTGAATCAAACTCATCARTCAATCAAAAAAATTTGGAYCAGAAGCTACGACTAGTGTGTTCTTCCWAGTCAGAAGCTCATAAACTGGACAAACACGTTAAAAACTCATCATTGTGTCTTCAAATTGTTTCAAATTCCTGTTCATTAAATTGTTCTTGGAGCTTGCGGGTACAGACGATGGGCGAATGACTAAAACCAGCAAGCTGATTCCAATTTACGAGCAAAGAACCAGAATAAAACTGGTGTTAAGGCGCGGCCAAGTTGGTAACTTTGGCTTATCGTTAATACTATGGGCGGTCATCTGAAGACTGTTCGAATGACACTCTGTAGGCTGATCCATTCATCTCTTTCGCGTCTTTGTCCGATAACTTCTGCTGGCGCAAACTGTTTTCTGGTATGCGAAATCCGGCTCGATAATGCGTGCAAGGCCCATTAGACGATGTAAGTGCGGATATTTTAAAAAACACTTAAACGGCGAATTTAATAACCGGCACTCGGAGTGCCTTTTTCGAAAGCTTTTAAGGGCTCGGTTTTTCTATATAAGTTCACATGGAAAGGGAATGTTGAACGCGCCACTGTTTCTGCTGATTATGCAAAGCTAAAGTAAACTGATTGAACTAGTTTATGCGTATTAGTGCTGATTAGGTAGCAAATGTTGGGAAATTGCATTATTGTTATTAGCTCGTTCAAATAATTGCAACTCATTTCGAGCCGTGTTGATTTTTCACTTTTTCATTTACCGCAATCCGGCCGATAATGCGCGGAACACTCACATCTAATTGATTGTTTTAATGATTTTTCCATGAGTTTGCATCTTGTTTGGTTGCCTTGATGCATGTCGAATCGACGAATCGACCGATAATGACCAGGAACTGTTGAATATTTAAACGGCGCCGAATCCCTGGAAAATCTCCCCAAACTGCCATCAATTGGCAAGTTTTCCATGCTGAAAGTTGCCGGGGTTTTTATAATTTCGCTGGTTAATTTTCCAGCAAACTGCCCTTGTTTGACAAGTTTCTAAATAAGTAATCCTAATGAATTTTCTTCGGCATTGAGGCCGATTTTCCCGAGTGGGTCCCGTTTGGAAATCGAACTGATAGCCGATCTTGAGGGCAATAATTATAAACTTCCCCCGCTCGGTTACACATGTTAGAGCAATCCTTTTCTCCGCAACCGGATACTCGTATTATCTTCCACGTTAATTACGCAAATTAAAGTGGTCGGCTCTGTTTACTAAACAAAGTTTGAGCCGGTGCTCTATCGATAGAGCACCTCTTGCTTCTTATCGCTTTTCACGATTGGTTAGTCGTCAGTGAGGGTTTGAAGTCGAACTAAAGAAACTTTCTTCGTCTGGAAGATTAACAGGTTCAAAGCTTTCAGGGTAAATAGTTTCGCAAGCACGAGTGGTGTGCATCTTCAGAGTTTTGGGCCCACCGCAAGAGTTTTTGCTTTCAGCAAATTTGCAAGCTATTTTTTTAAAAATTGGCATTAAAAACAGTATTAATCTAAATATTTTCTTACTCTTGGGATTTTTCAAAGTTTGAGACTTGAACACATTACTCAAAAGTGAAACTACCTATAGGGCTCCTCTTAGCGCCGTTAAACAGACCAAAATCCCACCCTACTGAGGATGCGAATTTTGACTTAGTGTCATATTTGGTAAATTTTTGAGAATTTTTCAAGTCTGATGCTTAAAACGTGTTATTGTTTCAGCAAATTTGCGATCAATTTTTCAAAAATTCGTTACCCAAAGTAGGATTTAGCTAGTGGGCTGTTTTAAGCACTATTCGAAAGACTAAACTGACGACTTTTTCTTCATCTTGCAAGTATCGAAATACGCAATTTTTGTCAATTCTGGGATTTTTTTAAGTTGGAGCTTGAAAGCGCATTTTGGGATCCTGAACTTGTGAGCCTTTTTTCGAAAAACTGTCACTCAAAACGGTGTTTATCCAAAAGTTTCCTTTTAGTAGCATTCGATTGAGGACGCGCTGCTCTATTTTTGTCGAACTCTTGATATTTTTTTAAGTTTGGGGTTTGAACGTGCAATTTGGTTTTCCGCCCTACTGGACGATATTTTTCAAAAGTTCATTACTCAAA